TGGACACGTGGCCTTTGGCACGAGTCAGGGTTTCCTAAATTTTTCCAAAACAAAATATTTAGGTGGCGACTCTGAAATCTGGCAAAGCGGTCCATGTTTGGCACTTTTTTATTAAAATCGATTTTCCAAAATGATTTGCTGAATTTGGACTCTTTGGTGATTTATCAGTCTTACATTGCACTTTGTGAGATTAGATTTAGAACCGTGACAGGAGTCCAAACTGTAGTAGCTAGAACCCAAATCCATGCCCTCTCCGAAAGGGAGGCGCGCGGAGAGAGTTCGGGGCGGTCTTAGTCATGGATCACAATATGATTTAGGTGGTAGTTCTGGTGCAGGGGGTAGTGGTCAAAGAATGCCAAAAGGGTCAGGTATTGCTAATGTTTTTCGTCGATCACAGTCCGTGCATGAAACTGGTGAAAGTGGACGTAATTGGATTAAGCCCAATGCTCTTGAAGCAAGGTTGAGAGCAATGGATGTAGAACTCCAAAAAAGCAAGAGTACAAAGCAGCGAAAAATCTCTACAATGAATTTACAGAAGTTAAGGGAGAGGTTGGGACGGGCAGTGTCCAATTTTATACTCTATAATCGTATTCCCTTCAATGTAGTTGATTCAGAGTGTACACAATCCATGCTTGATGTTGCTGCTAAAGTAGGGGCAGGAGTAAAGGGTCCTGGTGGTTATGAAGTTTCTGAAGTATATTTGAACATGGAGCATGATGAAATGACAGAATGGATAAGATCATTCAAGGAAATTTGGTTAGAGAGAGGTGTATCCATCATGTGTGATGGTTGGAACAATCTAACTCGGCAACACATCATCAACTTCTTAGTGTACTGCAATAGAGGTACTATATTTCACAAATCAATTGATGCCTCTAATATTATTAGTAGGACTGTTGAATATTATTTTGGGTTGTTAGATAAAGTTGTTGATAAAATTGGAGAGCAATACGTTGTTCAAGTGGTGACTGATAATGAACCTGCACTGAAAGCTACAGGCAAAATGTTAATGAGAAAAAAGAAAACATTTATTTTGACAACTTGTTTGGCACATTGTATCGATCTCATGCTAAAAGACACAGCCAATAAGAAAAGTGTAACAAAGGTGATTGAAGATGGTAAAACCATCACCAATTTCATTTATAATAGTGGATGCGTGTTAGATTTAATAAGAAAATTCACTAGAAATAGAGAATTGATTCGACTTGCCATCACTCGATTTGCTACAAATTTTATTGCCATTAAGAGTATTGTTAGATATAAACAACAATTGAGAGCTATGTTTAATAGTGATGAGTGGAAGAATTCTAAATGGGGGAAGGTAAAGACTGGGCAGCCTTACAAGGTGAAAAAAATTATTTTGGGAAAGGAGTTTTGGCAAAAAGCAATAGAACTTTGTAAAGTTCATGAGCCACTAGTCAGAGTATTGAGGTTGGTTAATGGGGATGAGAAGCCAACAATGGGTTTCATATATGAAGCTATAGATAGAGCAAAGTTGGCAATTAAAAGAGATTGTCGCTGCTACACCGAGTATTGGAAAATTATTGATACTCGATGGTCTTTTCAATTGCAACAAGATTTGCATACGGCTGGTAAGTGTTACGATTTCAATTATAAAATGTATATTTACTTACAATTATTAATTGTCTTTTTATTTTTGATGGATATTTTTTAAATCCTCAATTCCAATATGGTGTTACCTCATCCAATGAAATAATAAGAGAAGTGGTGCATGGACTTAAAAAAGTAATTACTAGATTGGAGCCTAATATGGATGCTCAAGTGCAAGCAACAAATCAGGTACGTACCAATTATTTAAATTTTAATAGTAATAATCTACTTTTGCAAATGTTACTTGTAATGATTGTCCAAATTATAGTTGTTGCTGTTTCGAGATAAAACAGGAAACTTTTGGTACTCCTTTAGCACAAAGAGCATGGAAACAATCAAATCCAGGTTTTATTTTCAAAATTACAAATTTACAATATAT